AATTATATGCAGTTATTGTAATAAAATAATATTACATTCATAACAGCCGAAGATCCGAACGATTCGTTCCTAAGTTCCTCCAAGAATCTATAAAATGTAAAAAGGATCTGAAAGTTGATGATAATTAGAATTTGTATAGAATTAGTCACTTAGTTCCTAAACAAATATACAAATAATTACTATTAGGCATTAGTACTACAGTAGGTAGGTTAAATCAGTTTTAGCCGAATAAAATGCAAATGAAACTGTAATGTGTGTGGATAAAATATGATAGTATATCTTAAAAGTTACAAGTATCTACGAATAGTATTTTTAAATCCCAAAAAAATAACTAAAATCGTTATTCTTAGTAATAATATTTAATTTCGTCCAAATTTGAACTTAAAATGTCTATAAATATAAAATCGGTGTTTATATATTTTTTTAAATTAATTGGTTGCAGTATGAAATACTTCGTGGAACCTTATTTTAAATGTCCAATCCTTATCTATACATAAATTTAATATTTTATACCAATATTTTAACTACAAAATAATTTATAAATTTTAAATATGATACAGTTCGTCAAAATTGAATTTTAAATGCTGCTAAAAAAAATTGTGCTTAAGGATTTTTAATGTTTTTAAGCTGTGTAACATCTCACACTTTCAATTTACAGATTCCGTGGAGTGTTATATGACTACCGATAGACAGCTGGTGGTATACATATTATACCAACTAGATTCACTTTCCAAAAGAAACAATACTGTAGATTAAAATCGAAGAATTATTTCAAATACTTATGGTGTACACATACACAAAAAAAAAAAAAAAAACACACACACACACACACACACACACACATAATTGTAAAATCAAACATTCGTTTAACGTTCAGAATCTAAAATATTATTTTCAAGCAAAACTAGATTTAAAAAAAATGTATTTGTAATTCAAAAACAAATTATCATTGATACTTGAACTTTTCATTGTTTGAGTATAAACAAATGATACTTAATATTGTATAATAGCAATTATTTTTTTTCATAAGCATTTGAAGTTCAAATGTTTATAAAATTCATCAAAGTCGCGAGAATTTGCAAATTATTGTGTAGTTATAAATGTATAAACTTTTAAATTTGTATAGCTAAGGCTTGAAAATTAAATACATGGTTCCTGCAGTTTATACTGCAACCAAATAATCTAAAAGTAATATTATAATCTAAACAAGGATTTGCTTAATAGTCATTCTAAGTTCAAACCTAGATGAAATTACATATTTAAACGTGGAATTACAATTTTAGTTATTTTGTAGTATTAAAAAAAGTTATTGGATGAGGTTTTGAACAATTATTATATTTTATAAAATAACACAGAGTGATTCACCAACCATGCTTACAATCTTATTTTTATTCAATAATAGATTTTTGGAATTTATTAATATACTTAAAGGCCATATTTTCAAATTATTGAGATTTGTGTACTACCTACTTAGGAAGTGTCCTGTAGAAATACAAACTTCTGTTTTTAAAATGAGACTCCCCTCCCTTTTAAACTGTAAATTATTCAGTGGGTAATTTGTTTGATTAGTCGAATATCACTAAAATTTCGATTTAGCTTCCAATCCTTCACCCACTTTGATCTTTTTTTCCTTTTTTTTTGTTAGAACACCTGCATACACATGCAACACATGCAAAAGCTATTTTTTTTTCAGTTTATACATAATTTATAATACATTTTAAAATTTTTAAAAATGTGTTTAAGTTATATTATAAGTTAACAAAACAACAACACGGTCAAGATCGAAATGAAAACTGTTGGAGTGTTGAGTTTTGCAAAACTCCATGCGTCATGACAATCGCGCGGGTAGACGGTTATTGCATTTACATGGACACGTTTTCTTGTGAATTCCAACATAAAAGGAAAGAACTTAGGACTGGCGTGTGTCACCTATTTTCAAGCACACTCTTGGCGCGTCACTCGCCAGTCCTTCGAGATTAGGCTGGCCAACCCAATCGCGCACGAAAAAACCTTCGTCTAAAGGGCCCTAATATCTAAGTCTTAACACATACTTTACAGTGACATACTCAATGACGAGGTACATTCGACACCAGCATTCCTCCCCCCCTTTTCCATTTAAAAATGCTATTTTTCCGCGAATTTTATATTGATTTTTGCGTACTCAATTACTATTTTTCTGTTCTTATTTTGATATAAGTGTTTGTTGGAAAAAGTTTTTAAATTACTTTAGAGCTTAGTTTAAAAAAGACTTTATTACATTTTTATAATAAAAACTAAAAAATTTAACAATCACATCATGAGAATACCGTACAATTATTTAACTGTCAATGTTTATTTCGAAGAGGGCTTTGTAAACTTCTTCTTAATTTTATTAACTTACACAGCTTATTTTTTGAACCTTTGTTATCTGACGGGTAGGTATTGGATACATTTTATGTATGTCACAAAATCGTAAAACGAGAACGTATACCTACATCGTATAATAGTGAAGCGTAACTCTATGAAATATCGAAAATGTGTATGTTTACAAATTAATCTTTTACAATAGGAAAATAATTTATAAAAAAAAAAAAACAAGCTTTATTGTACACTCGCGTTTAACAACACTTGTAAGTCTAAATTATTTATTATTATATAGAATGTACGGTTGTATATCAGCTCGTATTAACAGTGACAAATACAGGGTGTTATAATTACAGTTTAACAATAATATATGATATTGTCGCTATAAACTGTAATTTGCTTTGTATATCTAGGTTGTTTTTTTTGAATACACCATAAAATACAATTTCAAAAATTGAAAAATATATAGATTATATTTATTTCAATTTTAAATCTCGTAATCGTTTGTATTTTAACTGTTTTAAATTTTCTATTTACAACACACATTTTTAATTCCATATTCAGAAGAAAAATAGTTTTCTTATTTTTTTGAAAATATTTCGTACCTGTACGAAAACTAAGTATCTTGTATTTTAGTTGTTTATAAACCTTTCAATTTTATATGAGTGTTGTAGTAACCCAAGAAAAGTTAGCTCACTATATTCAACATATATACATTTTGAATACTTCTGAATAGTTAACTTCGGGTTCAAATGTCGGTTTTTATATATCCATAAAAAACTGTTTTGCTATATTAAAAATAGTATTTGGTGATTGAAAAAAGTAAAAATTAAAAAAAAATATTTTTCTTCAATTTGTTATTTAAAATTCGGTGAATGGTGTTCAAAACTTAAAAAATTTCATCGTTTGTCTTTAATCTCGATATAGGTGCTTGTGCAAGCACCACATCAAATGGCGAATTTTGGAAGGTGCTTTCTTAGTGCACATGTGCACACTGCACAGTGCACTTACATGGTGTATCAAGCCTCAAACTATAATTGTTTAAGCTCTACAACGTCTACGTTGATCGGTTATCTAGTCAGACAGAACACTTTCGATTATATTATATTATTATTATAGCCATCCCGCCCGGCGTTACAAGTGAGACAAACATTTTATTCACTTTATCACTAGCTGACACTTTGTTATTGCTAGGTTTTTGTGATTGTTCAACTCCTTTTGGGTGTAACACGCTGTAGAAGCTGGAATTCCTTTTTGCGTGTAAATTATAATTTACATTATATTTTAATTTATAGCCATCCCGACCGGCGTTATCCTTGAGATTCGCTTGTGATTATGCGTGCAGTAAATTTTGAGGTAGACAATCCACCCGTGGAGGATTGCAGACCCCGCGAGGTACGCACGTAATTGTCGTACGTATAATAATTGTTTTATTAACATTTTGTTTTTGGTTTTGGCCAAATATAAAGATATAGATACAGGTCTAAAATTATATTCAACAGAACCAATAGAAACATTACAATGAACAAAAATATTTTATTATATAGTGTATTTTTTCGCTGAACTTTTGTATTTTTGACATCCAGGTTTCCTACTTTTCCGGTGGATTTTCCTAAAATTTTCTTTCATACAAACCTTTTTCAACAAAAAAAAAGTCAGACAAATCGGTCAAGGCGTTCTCATGTTATATCATAACATGGTCTTTGGGATTCATTTTTATAATAATATAAACAGATAAAATAAAATACGAATAAATTATAAACTAAACTATTTATATATTACTAGATCGTATTATCCAATATAATAAAATGAAACGTAGTTGGTATGGTAATTTAATATTATGTGTAGTTGTAACTTTTAAATCATATAAATAGCTATTATCATCATTATCAATAATATATTTTAATTTATAATAGGTACTTGTTTTATTTACTATAAGTCGACCAAATATAACGTAGGTCTGTAAGTACTTGGTAAATACAACTTATACTATTTAAATTTTACTATTTAATTTGATATTATTTATTGTTTATTCTTAGTATCGAATGCAATTGTTTGCATAATGTGTTTATTTTGAATTACCTCTTTGCAAAATATATAATAATATGCCAATCGCTATCATGTCCATTGGCCATAGATGCAGCAGATACTTCTAATATAATTGAGTACGATAAAAACAAATATCATAATATTATTATGATTTATAAAAAGGAATCGATTTCAACACTTCCGCAACTGTATTATACACGTGCCATCAGAGAATTTAATTTCCAAGTAGGTATATTATTTAGACCAATGGCGTTCGTCCAGCTCGAGGGCGTTATGGTCAAGCCAGTGGTCAAGGGTTCGCGAGCGCATTGAATATTATCATAATGGATTCCCCTCATCCTCCTCCCTTGTAACACGAACACCATCGTACTCCACGAACCCTACCACGGTATGGCATAATATGGCCTGCACACAATAATATTACGTCATATTGGTAAACGCAGCGACGGGCTTACAAGTCCGACGTGATATGTGTTTTTTTTTTTGGATAAAATATATGACAGACGACTGCGGTGCAGTGGACTGCTTTCTAGACGAACTGTGCCAAACAACGACTACGACGGTGATACATTATATTTATGATTTATGTGCGTGTTCTGTGTTTACAGGTGAATGGCCTCTAGGCGTGGCTTGGTGCAACGTGTACATCACGTGCGACGTGCTGGCCTGCAGTTCCAGCATTATGCACATGTGTTGCATTTCGCTGGGGAGATACCTGGGCATAAGACATCCTCTCAGGACCAGACATCACTATTCCACCATGAAATTGGTGTGTGTCAAAATCGCCATCGTCTGGTTCCTGTCATTTTTGGTATCGTTTTCGGTCACGCTCCTGGGTGAGTTCTCACAATAACCTTCCATTACGTATTACTCTCTGGTTGTAAGTATATGTATAGACCATAATATTTTATTCGAATCGAATTCAAAATATCGTGTTCAAATATTTTTTTTCCACATCCGTATAAAATAGAGTGTTATAATACTTTCATACAAACATAATGATATGTGCATATTTTATATTAATTGGTAAGTCAAAGAACTATTATACCCGCCGTGATGTAGGTACTCGGAAACATTATTATAAAACACCTTTCGTCGCGGTGACTCCATGTTTTCGGTATCTAATCCATTTGTTTTCGTTGTATATAATTATGTTTTATATACGTCATGTTTAATGCGTGTATGGTACCTAGGTGTGTGTTTTTACTTACTTTTGCAAACGTGTTGAATATAATATCCAAATAAATTAATTCTACGCTTGTTACCTAATAATGGCATATACTAACACGTCATTGTATTCCCGAATTATTACCAAAATAGATTGAATGATTTTTATAGCAAATTAAATATACCTCGTGCGCTATACCTAATTGCAAGTGAAAACACATTCTACAGGCTCATTTTTACAAATATCTACGTTTTGTCACTAAATTATTATATTTTTATTGATACCATGCACTCTCTTTAAACGAAATTTAAGAATTAAGTTTGAATGTAAAAGGTTTTGTTCGTTTATTTCTACATAGATATAAAATAACCATTTATACACGTTGATTTTAACTTTAAAGGTAAAAATAAAAAGATAATAATAATATTACAATATCATATATGTAAACCTTTTTACTGATTAGTTCACTTTTTTATTTATAACAAACATTGCTAAGGTTCTGTAAAATGAACAGTTTTTTTTTATGTTTTAGGAATTTCTTTTTCTTTTGAATTATTTTATATAGTCTTACCCACCGATACTATAAATATAAATGATAATTGATATGGATACTTGGTTTAATTTTTTTGACATATAGTTTTGGAAAAGGGTAATAAACTGTTAAAATTTGTAGGACTTATAATAACCAGGCTTAGGATTTTATAGGATTTGCTAATTGTTATAGAATATAGAAAAAATAACTCTGTTTCTAGGTTATAAATTTTATTTATGTTTTAAGGATTCCAAATATAAAATTGTTTATTCTATATTTTTGATAATTTAAAGCAATTTAGATTTTTAGTGCTCTTTTTCAAGTTTCTTTTGATATTTTGTACTAATATGAATTAAATTTGGTAAATTATGTTTTTTTCGTATGGTACCTACCTAATCACAACAAAATAATAAAATAATAACTTATGCGAATAAATAAGAAAAAAGGTGCTCTGGTGTACAGTAGGTTACATGTGGGTCACTGTATAATAGATAGTATTAAATTTGAATTCAATGATATAATATCATTGTATAAGATTCTGAGCGGATACGGTATGTCAGTCTAGGTATAAGACATATTATATCCTTATCTATCGTATTAAAAAAAATTTACCTAAAATAGGTACCTATAATAAATTCCAAATTAATATCATATCACAATATCCATTAGGTACTTATAATGCGTTAAACGTCAACAACAAACCCTGATACTATCATAGTCCATACTCCATAGATATATAATATTGTACTTTAGAAGTTTCAAGTACCCACGAATAATATTACACAATCATAACAAAATAACTAAAATAGTTTTCTAGGTTTTTTTATATGTAATTTTGTCCAAAGTTGAACTTAAAATGACTATAAAAATAAACTGTGCTTATGTATTTTTTAGATTTTTTGGTAACAGAATTAACTATTTACGTGGAATCTTGTTTTAAATTTTCAATCCTTAGATATAAAAGTTGAACATTCTATACATTTTTAACTACAAAATAATTATGCAATTTTAAATTTGATAAATTTTGTCAAAATTTGATCTTAAAATGCTCATAAAAAAAATTGTGCCTATGTATTTTTAATATTTTTCAACTGCTATTGAAACAATAAATCAGGAGCTTTGTATTAATTTTTACACCTTTTTTACCTAAAGATAGGATACTTTATTGATATTCATAGAAAAAAAAAATTGAAAACTGACAATATGTCTGTCAGCAGCTCAAAAAGATTCAAAATATTTTGAAAATTTTATCAAGTATAAGAATTTATAAAATAAACATTCAGTGAAATTTGAATGTATGATTCATTCTACATTCATTCGTTTTCGAATTATATCAAAATAAAAAAATCGTTACATGAGAAATCGAGTGAATAACAAATTTTTTAAAAACATAAATTTAAAATGCTCATTAAAATTTCACTTTCCGGTAGACATTTTTTTTTGATAAGGAAAGACAAAGTTATGCAAAATCTTGTATTTTATTTTCAAATCTCAGATTTAAAAAGAAAAACTTTTATGAATTTCTAACTAAAAATATTTTTCAAATGTCATTGTAACAACATAATAGGAGCTTTGTATTACATTTTCAAGCTTTTTTACCTAACCAATAAAGTTTTATTGACATTCATAGAAAAAGAACCTAAAAAAAGTTAAAAACTGAGCATATCCGTAAACAGCTCAAAACGAGTCAAAATTGTTTGAACTTTTTTTCATGTATAGGAAATTCTCATATAAACATTCATTGAAAATTTCATGTATTTATGATCATTTGTTTTAGAGTTACAAGAAAGCCAAAATCGTTTTTATGAAAAACCGATTTTGAGTAAAAATTCCTGTTTTTCCTTAATTTTTATGTTGTTTTTCCCGGCGCTTATGAAAACTATTGGAAATATTAAAATTTGACCTCCCGAATGCACCAACTAGATTCACTTTCCAAAGGACAAGATACTGTTGAAGCAAATCGAAGCAGTTTTACTGTCCTAAACCGTGATGACCGACACAAAAATAATAAATAAAAAACCACACATCATTTTAAAATCAGTAAATTCATCATTCCACTCAGAATCTAAAATACTTAATCAGGAGGCTTGTATTACATTTTTACACTTTTTGGCCAAACAGATAAAACTTTATTGATATTTATAGAAAAAAAAACTAAAAAAAATTGAAAGCTGTAAATGTCCATAAACAGCTCAAAAAGAGTCAAAATATTTTCAAAATTGTATGGTGTATAGGAAATTCTAATATAAATATTCAGTGAAATTTTCATGTATCTACAGTTATTCGTTTTTGAATTACAACAAAATAAGGAAATCGCTACATGAGAAATCGAGTGAAAATCCAATATTGTAAAAATTGGAGTTTCAAACGCTCTTAAAAATTTAATTTGACTTTCTTATAGAAATTTATTTCTTGATAATGGTAGATAATCTTATAAGGAATCTTGCATTACATTTTAAAATCTTAGATTTAAGGAGAACAATTTTTATGAATTCCTCACTCAAAATAATTTGCTAATTTTCGTGATTTTTCCATATTTTGTCAATTTTTAGACTTTAAATGCTTATAAAAAAAAAACTGTGACTAAGGATTTTTAACATTTTTCATCTGCCTTTGAAACAATATATTAGAAGCCTTCTATTAAATTTTCAAGCTTTTTTAACCAACTAATAAATTTTTATTGATACCTATTCATAAAAAAAGAAAACTAATAAAATTAGAAGCTGAAAATGTCCCTTAACAGTTCAAAATAAATTAAAATATTTTGAAAATGTTATCGTGTATAGAAAATGCAAATATAAACAACCAGTGAAAATTTCACTTATCTACGGTCATTTGTTTTAAAGTTACACCAAAAACCAAAATCGATTTTCTAGAAAACAGATTTTGAGTAAAAATTCCCGTTTTTCCTTAATTATTATTTGTTTTTCAAGGCGCTTTTGAAAATTACTTATTTTTACTTTTGACCCCCCCCCCCCCCCCCCAATGTACCAATTAGATTCACTTTCCTATCAGAAAAGATACTGTTGAATTAGAAAATCCAAGCACTTTGACTGTCCTAATATGTGAAGACAGGCACAAAAAAAAAAAATAATAAAAAAACACACATTATTGTAAAATCAATACATTCATCGTTGCACTCAGAATCTAAAAATAACATTTCATTACATTCAATCGATGTTTTCATTCAAGATAATTTTAGTTTAATTTATTACCGAATTAGGTACCTACTAACTATAAATAACAATATCCCGTTCTTCCGAGCTCAACACATACTCAATTTTGACAAATTAATTAAACATGGTAAAAAGAGTAAACTGAATTTAAATGTTATTTTTATTCCGAAATATTTTTAAAAAAAATATTCTGATTACTAATGACAAAATTTATTTTCAACTTCAAGTTATTTTAAATGTATTGCATGGTAAGATGAGGGTGTACCATTGATTCACTAAAAATATTAAACACTGAATTTATGTACCTACTTAAGAACTTATTTAGACTGTCTAGAGTTTCGTTCAATAGAATCTCGTTTTTGTTTACACTAATAAATAATTAAATCAACAGCCTTCTAAGTTTGATCTTATAATACCTACACATCAGTTATTTTCAGATCTCTTCCGTATATTTTATAATTACGTTAACAAACTATTCACAGTCTAGCGAATAACACATTATTATGAAATAATTTCCTCGCCTCTCCTAAACATTATAAATAAGTAGGTATTCACAACGCTCTCAACTAAATTATAATTTTAACGAATTATTTGCGTTTGACTACATAAGATCTTTACTGACTATTGTTTGATTACACTACATAGGCTAATCGAGTGAGTGAGAGACATGAATAATTTATAATATTAATTTGATTCGAATTATTTTTATTTTTGTTTTTTTTTTTAACAAAGTTGTAGTATCTAATGCATCTTTAAATTAAATTTCAAGTTAAATCCTTAATTTCCACAACATGTATTTTAAATACGATGGATATTATAAAAATGTAATTTTGGGAAGGGCGTGTTGTTATTGTTATATTGCTTGCGGAAATTGTATTTTAAAATTTAAAATATTTAAGTACCTAGATATATAATGTATAATATAGTTTATAGGAAGTATATATATTATCAGTCCATTACAAAAATGTATATACATTTAAGTATAGAAAACAATAATAAATAATATTATCTTATATTATAATAAATTGATAACCAACCGCTTCAAAAGACACCCGATGTTGGTTCTTTCTAATTTTGATCAAACATTTTATTTTAGTTTTTACGATTTAGTTAAAATATTTACACCTATTTTATACAGTTCTAAATCGTTGATATACACACTTATTCATTGAATACCGTTTATAATTCTTCAATAACAATGTTCTAAATAGTACTAAAAAAAAGAACCAAAACAAATTGCTTGTGAAAATGTATTATGCATGTGCATTATAATTAATTTGAAATTAAGGTACGTACCGACCGTAAAAAATAAGAAATAAATAATGCGATAGTAACTGCGTGAAAGATAAGAATCTACTAGACATAAAATATGATCTTCGAACGGTTGGACGGATTGTCATCGCAAATAAAAGTATGACACACCGTGCACTATTATAGTAATATATTATATCAACATTTTTGAGTGTCGTGCGGTTAATTAGCCGAGTAGACGATTCCCGTCGAGCGGCATCGGAGCGTCACGGGAATAAAAACAAACAACTCTCGTCCCTAATGGTTAAAGGTATGTCACCAGATCCCAGCCCCCCACTCGCGGGTGCATTCGTCTTATCAGAAAAGTATATACGACCCTGCGAATTATTTCAAGACTCGCCTATATAAAATGACGTACGGTACGGTAAGTCTTTCCCCGTCCCCGCGCCGCCATCGTTATAATATTTCCACGCCACGAACACTCCTACACATAAATACAATACACATTCGTCCCTTTTAGCTCTCCTCTTTCTCATTCTTTCTCTTCTTCTCTCCCCTCGCCCACTCTCTCTCTCTCTCTCTCTCTCACTCTAACTCTCTCCCTCCCTTTCTCTCGCCTTCCCTCTCTCACCCACGCTCTCGCTCTATCCCTCTTTCTCAACGTACATTATACTTGTGTGTAGCCTACCAGTGGGTAGGTATACACAATATATAATATAACTACGCGTATACCGGGAGGGCTGGTTATAAAGACAACAAACGAGCACCTGTCTTTTTCTCACGGTCCGCCTTGAATAATAAATTATGAACGCGTGTCGACGGGCTACAAGGGTGTCGCGGATGGGGGATGGGACGGGATGGGCACTACGGGTATAATAATATATAGGGGCGGGCCAGTCAAAGGTGCAACGAAGGCGGTGGACTCGGGAGCTGCACGGAAAATCCTTCGTCTCTCGTACACACACACACACTCTGCGTAATCGTACTATATTATATATAGTAGGTAGGTACCTATATACTGTAACACGTCGTGATATTATGATTACATTATGGGGACGATGGTGTTTTGGTTCGTTCGACGTATTATAATAATATTATGTACCAGCCCGTACATAAACTGTAACCTAACCTGTGTCGTTCCCGCGTTTTTACCGTTTACATATACATTCCCCGCAAAACCTCCGATTCCGTTCCGTTCTGTGAGCACACGATTTGTGACTAGCGGGTAAATCATTATCACCGTATGACTATTGTTATAACCTATATAATATGTGTACCTAAGCGTTCGACCCCTCGATCACGCGTTTAGCACCATCCTCAACACCCACCGCCGCCGCCGCTGTCATTCGTTTATTGGATTTATACCGTCATTAGATTATTATTTTGTCGGAGCTTGTGAGGCAGTGACTTGGTGATGGAAGAAGAGAAGAAAGAAAAGAAAAAAAAAACAATCACATCACATCGAATCCGTCTCGCGGGCGTGCGTCGGTGTGAGACGTGAGTTAACAACAAGTTGTTGCTCCGAGGCCTCGAGGGGTGTTCGACTTGATGTGTTTTTTTCTCCGGAAATAATGTATGTCTGTGTGCACCCGAGTGAGTGAGTGGGGACCCGTGACGAGCATGGATCCAGGAATGAAAAGAAAAAGGGACGACTATCAATCGATCGGATACGAACAGTTATATTCTTTATTGAGTATGTCACGCAATCGGAAAATTGATTTTTAAAGGATAACGCAAAAACATTGTGCTTTTTCGAGTAAGCCAGAAACCGTGCTAAAATAAGTTTTTAAATAAATATTTTTAAGCTATATGGTATAATAATAATTGTAATGTCCAACATAAAAAGGTACAGCAGTAAATGATCCTAATAATTGAAAAAATTTTAATTTATTTAATAATTATTAATGGAACATTATTATTATATTAATGATTAATCATAAGAATCGACAATTTTATGAATTACAATATTATTCTAATTAATTAAACCATTTTATACTTAGTATTGTTTTATGTTCTTGAATAAAATATGATAGTTGGTTCCTCTACACCTGCAACATATAAAAAAGTTTATAATATATTAAAATACCTCATCAAAATACAAAAGCAATTCATTTAAGGAAATTGTAAAAACAAAACGTTAAAGTGACCCAAATTCTACCCTTTTTACCATCCCTCGAATTATATCCACCCTACCCGTCTCGCAAACAACGTCGGATTTAAAACTATTAGCTTAAATCTTCCATCAAACATAAAAAAATATTTGTTTATAACAATAGTATACATATTAAACAAACTACCATTTAAAAATAATATACTAATTTTATTTTATTTAAAATGTTAAACAATTTTTGAAGTAGTGACTATAGTTATAAGTATTTTCTTTTGTATTATGATATTGTTTTATTATAAGACTTATTTTAAACTTAAGTATTTTAATTTTATTTGAACTTTTTAGCTGTATTTTAGAAACTGTGAATCTGTTGTATATTATTATTAAATGTACATTCAGCTGCTTTTAAAATGATTCTTAAATTTTTTTCAAAATATGCTTTGATGTACTTCATAATATTTCTTTAGCAGTATCTACCTATGAAAACTACATAATATTAATTTTACATTTTTAATTTTAAAATTGGCTGATTCACTTATTTGTAATAATTGTTTTTGTTTATTTTTGTGGACTGTTATAAACTAAGTACCTACATGCATGATTAATAATAGTTATAATAATTATCACGGGTGTTTAAATCAAACGATAAATATAAACTCAATGTAGAATAAAGTTCTTCTAAACAAATCCTAAAAATGTTATATTAAAATTAAAGGTAAATTAAAATCTATCGATAAGCTTAAAGCTTAAATCTCGCATGTGACTATATGATGTTGTCAAAATACTATTGTTGAAACGCTGAAAACTGCGTTGTATAGATAGTTTTCTTTAAGCATTAAGTAACAGAAAAAAAATGTTTGAAAGTCCATAGTTGTAACTCGAATGTTTTATATTTTACAGGTCTTTCCAATGCTAAGAACATTATGCCGGATCCAGGGGTTTGCGTAATCAACAATCGAGCTTTTTTCGTCTTCGGTTCGCTGGTCGCGTTTTACATACCAATGATCATCATGGTGGTCACGTATGCCCTTACTGTTCAGGTGAGTTTTCGAAGAGTTTTTAAATTTTTCATTTTTGGTCTGCTATTAAATATATTATATTTTACACATGATTTTATAAATACATTTCGTATTGAAAACGATCGTCGTATGCACGAATGTCGAGCGAACTTTTTAAACTTATGCATGGTCAAATACTGTACCAACAGAAACCATTTCGGTACATTTTTTTTTCCGTACGAAAATTGTTGGAAAAGCAAAATGATAAATGAATGCTTGAAGGAAGCCGGAGAGTTTCACTTTAATATATTTCATTACGTAACCCAAATTGTCCGTGATGTCGCTGAATAAACGTTATATTTGTATAAACTTGTTTGTGTATGTATATAAAATTAGAAAAGTTTGTATTCATTAGACTTTTGTTTAAAACAAAATAGTTTTTGGATTTGAAAGATTTATTATATCAAAAAGTAGATATATCAATCAATTGGAAAAAAAAAGTTTATGAGTGCACAATAAATGGTGATGGGCTGATCTACAGATTACTTAGTCCAACTCTTTAATATACGTTTATATTATTTGTAGAAACTTTACAAAATCATAAAATATTAAACTAATATCGTTTACAAGAAGTAATTAAACGTAAGAAATCTGAAACATAATTTTACGTTTAAGTAGTTTAGTTTTTTAAATAATATAAATCATTCAAAAATAAAATAATTTAGATAATTAAATGTTTACCATTATTAACAGTCGTTAAATTTTTACGTCACAGATATAATATTGTGCTTTAGTTAAGATCAAAATAAATGTAAATATAGTTAGGCATAATTACCTTTTCATTTTCTAATTGGACTAGAGACTCGCTTAGCTTGACAAATAACAACTAACAAATATATATTATATTATATTTTTGTATTCTGTTCACTCCCACAATAAATCCTGGACAACAGTCCACTATTATAGCTCGTACTATAACATACAATTATTGTTATTTCAATGAAATTGTTAGGATTAATTAGGTATTTATATCGGAGTAAGTTTAAACTATAAGAGACTAAACCAAAAATTATTAAACAATATTAAAAAAAAAAAAAAATAATAGATACATCAACTATTTTATAAATTGTTATCCAATTTGGCTGTACTTCAACTTTCGGGTCTGGATATGAATTTTTAATGCCCATATATGCAAAATATAATGTGGTACCTACACATTATATTATTATTTACCGTGTTCTTAGTTTTGAACGACTGAACCATGGTTATTGTTAGGTACACTATTTATTCTAAAAAATCGTTAAAATCACATGAGTACAATAGTCACTCATATGTGATGGCTGGCATTATTAGGTAAGTACTGCAAATTAGAAACAATACAAAATACATAAAATGAGACGGAGAAGTTAAATTATTTACAGACGAATAAACAACAGAAATATAAACACTAGGTAATACAATGTAGAATACACGTATGCCATTTAAAACATTCATTTTATGATGTTAGTTTTAATAGTTTTTAACATAATATATAATATGTTTTTGGGCTGGGGACAAATATTTAATTTTCTAAAAAATTTTTCAAAATAGACGTTTTCGTTGTAATAATTACTTATTAAAAAAAATATATTACTTATGATTCATAGATTTTCATTGTTAAGGAATTTCATAACTGAAGTTTTCCAGTTGATTTTCTTTTGGAATTTTGGAATATTTATAGAGGCAGATTTTTGAGGTAATTTACAGAGAGGCACTACCTTAAAATGGATGGTGAATTGTGTGACAAATTTATTTTATAACTTTGTGACTTATTTAGAATATATTTATTAGGATGCAATTAAAGTGAAACAATTATGTTAATATTGATAATATTATACCTACACGAAAGGCAAATTGTTTTTTATAAATAATTAGTTATAATTTATATACCAACATAGTACATAACAATTTTAAAAAAGATAAGGATTATCTCACAATAATACATTCCCGTGTAAGATTGTAGCATATAAATCCGATAAATGTAATGCATATACTTTGATGATGCTTTAAGTGATAAAAAATGAAAAAAAAACAACCCTCTTATTAAAGTAATAAATAAATCTCAAATATTTCTGACTAACAAAGTATACAGGGTGTTGCACGATAAACGTGTCAAACTTCTAGAGGTATTTCTACACCTCAAATGGAACAAAGAAAGTCCTTGTGACCATAGTCGACTTATCAATAATAAGGCGGTGATAATTTCCATGTTTGTGTTTTTTTTGTTAAACGCAAGTTTGATTCATAATAATTTTTATATAGCTGCTAAACCGTAGGTACTACAATTAATTTGAATAAATTGATGAAAATCTCATAAAATTGGGATTAGGAAAACCTATCTTACAAGGTTCCCACCTGATTTTTTGGGTAAAAAGAATAACACACATTTTTTAGAACTTTAAAATGTTGAAATTTTAAAAAACATCAATTTTATCCTACAACATTTTTTTTTTAAAGCAGCTGGGTGCAAATTTCAAAAAAACTTCAAAAAGGTTATAAGCTTTTCAACAGTGTACTCGATTTTTCGATAAACCTTTCTGAATTGCAGCTATTCTACCTAATGTGTGGAAAAACCGGGAAAAACGTAAACAAATTCTATAAGCAATAAATACAAAACTTGGTAAACTGATTTTTTTCAAATTTCGACGTTTTGAAGTTATAAAAAATGTGTGTTATTCTTTTAACCCAAAAAAATCAGATGGGAACCTTGTAAGATATATTTTCCTAATCCCAATTTTATGAGCTTTTCATCAATGTATTCAAATTAATTATTGTAGTACCTATGGTTTAGCAGATATGAACATTATTATGAATCAAACAAAAAACCAAAAACATGGAAATTATCACCCTTATTATTGATAATTCAATTATGGTCACAAGGACTTTGTTTGTTTCATTTGAGGAACACCTCAAGAGCTCTCACACCTCTCCTTTTAGAGAACACCTCTAGAAGTTTGACACATTTATCGTGCAACCCCCTGTATATAAACGTATTAATATTTGAGTACAATAGATGGAATAAAAAAAAAATATTAAAATTTTAATACTGTTTATTAGTTAATGTATGCACGTTTTGTGCATTTTTCCGTCTACAGTTCCCGTTCGAGGTATACAGCTTCCAGTATAGTTTCAATTATATATTAATATTTAGGAATAAGCCTTTTAAATTTTCAAACCAGACAAGTGAGATATTCTACTAAAATATTAAAACATACAAAATGCTTTTTAAAATTTCGTCATAGCAATAATTACATTGAAATACCTATTTAAGTACCTATTTGCATAATGACACGTTAGGTAACTATTTTGTCTGAATCTGTTGTCACCCGATCATTGATCACTTTTAAACTAATCGGTAGTCGGCACCGGGTTCATAAAACATATTACATAAGGTTTAAGTACTCGTAGTGTACCTGTTTAAAATTACAATAATACTTCACCCTATATTTTATCATCGGAATCTAATGGCAATAGTTCCCGGTACAGCCGGTCAGATAAAAAAATAAAAGAGTTAAAAAAGGTCGGAAATAAATAAAGAATAATAATTGCAATATAAACATTAACAACGTCATGTATGAATATATTTTAGTTTGACTTAAATTTTGTTGAATATTTAACTAATGGGTTTTTTAGTGTTTGAGTATGATATTTTATTAAAGGGGATAACGTTTCATGTATGATGTATCTATATCTATTTAGAAAAAAAATAAATATAAATCATAAAAATAAATAAAAATTATATAAATTAATCATATTACATTATCCATTAGGTACTTATAACGAGTTATACATCCACAACACACATTGATACTATCATAGATATATAATAGTGTACTTTAGAAGTTTCAAGTACCCACGAATAATATTACACAATCACTACAAAATAACTAAAATAGTAATTCAAGGTTTTTTTTTATGTAATTTTGTCCAAAGTTGAACTTAAAATGACTATAAAAATAAACTGTGCTTATGTATTTTTTAGATTTTTTGGTAACAGAATTAACTACAATGGTGAAATCATGTTTTAAATTTTCAATCCTTGGATATAAAAGTTGAACATTTTATAAATTTTTAACTACAAAATAATTATTGAATTTTAAATTTGATCTTTAAATGCTTATAAAAAAATATTGTGCCTATGTATTTTTAATATTTTTCAACTGCTATTGAAACAATAAATCAGGAGCCTTGTATTAATTTTTACACTTTTTTAACTAAAGATAAAACTTTATTGATATTCATAGAAAAAAAAACTAAAAAAATTGAAAACTGACAATGTCTGTAAGCAGCTCAAAGAGATTCAAAATATTTTGAAAATGTTATCAGGTATAAAAATTTATAAAATAAACATTCAGTGAAATTTGAATGTATCTAGATATTCATTCGTTTTCGAATTATATCAAAATAAAAAAATCGTTACATGAGAAATTGAGTGAATAAAATTTTTTTTAAAAATATAAATTTAAAATGATCATTAAAATTTCTCATTCCGGTAGGCATTTTTTTGTTGATAAAGGTGGACAAACTTATGCAACATCTTGTATTTTATTTTCAAATCTTAGATTTAAAAAGATAATTTTTATGAATTTCTAACTAAAAATATTTTTCAAATGTCATTGTAACAACATAATAGGAGCTTTGTATTACATTTTCAAGCTTTTTTACCTAACTAATAAAGTTTTATTGACATTCATAGAAAAAGAACCTAAAAAAAGTTAAAAACTGAGTACATCCGTAAACAGCTCAAAACAAGTCAAAATTGTTTGAACATTTTTTCATGTATAGGAAATTTTCATATAAACATTCATTGAAAATTTCATGTATTTATGATCATTTGTTTTAGAGTTACAAGAAAGCCAAAATTGTTTTTGTGAAAACCCGATTTTGAGTAAAAATTCCTGTTTTTCCTTAATTTTTATGTTGTTTTTCCCGGCGCTTGTGAAAACTATTGGAAATATTAAAATTTGACCTCCCGAATGCACCAACTAGATTCACTTTCCCACCGGACAAGATACTGTTGAAGAAAATCGAAGCAGTTTTACTGCCCTAAACCGTGATGACAGACACAAAAATAATAAATAAAAAACCACACATCATTATAAAATCAATACATTCATCATTCCACTCAGAATTTAAAATACTTAATATAAATTACATTTTTCTATTTATATTTACTAATAATTATATCCATTAAATTTATAATATCTGATTAACGTTAAATTATTTGCTGTCAAAATATAAATTACAATGCATTTATATCGACATTATGATCTCAATACCAAATATCGATGTAGGTACCTACTTCGCTGCATCAATATCGGAAATATTAATCGATATTATGAATATCGTTCTGCATTACTGTTTTTATTATAATTAACATGTTAACGATATATATAATATCATAAGGTTTGGTTCGAGTATAATATTATTCTTTTTTATATTTTTTTTCCAGGTAAATTTATACAGCGAATTGAAAATATTCTTTTCAATATCATTCGAGTATGACAATATCGCTTTTTTTTGTGTATATTGATTTATTGTTACTGCCAAGTGTGTTTGTAAGTCGTAAATGAGATTTAAAATGTACACAAAACGTACGAAACATATTATATTATCGATGTATACTCGTATTATACCTGTAGGTGTGTTGTAAGAATAGGTGTGAATAAACAAAGTATCAATATCTTTATTTACGACTGTTCACATTCAGGCTACTATAAGTATCGTCATTTAAAAAGTACCTAGTAAAAGTGTTAGTCATCATAAACTAACCCTAACACCTAACCTGTCATCATCCTGATTTGGGACATTTATAAATAATTTTGAAAATATCCTACTCTGCATGTTACATAATATTATAACCGTCTTCAATTGAATTCAACACAGTCAATCATTTTTTTGTTGGTCTAAATGTAAACATAAAGCACATATTATTTTTGTTATCATTAAACGTCAGTATGGATCTATAAACTCGTTAACCACTTGATAACGAGCATGTTGTTGAGATGAGATACATAAAATGACATAAACGTTGCACTCTACTCTATATTTTCCACTTTGAAGAAAATTTATGAATCATAAATGTGTATTAATAAGTAATCATTATTTGTATACAAAGGTACATAGTGAGAATTAGGTAGTTTTCACATTTTATTCGTTCTATGGTGATATTAACTAATTAATTAGACATAAATTATTATACGCTGATCATGAGTTTTATAAAAATTAAATCGAATACTCTTAAAAAATTGTTCTACCTTGGTTTATGAAATTGTATTTAAAGCTTACAGTGTATTACCGTCTTTTTAAAGCAGACAATTTACTTCAAATTTTAACGCTGTACCTATACAGTTTTTGGCAGTTATCAAATTTAATTTAGTATATGGTTTTTAGGAATAAAAGTTAAAAATGAACAGTACTTCCCTTAATAACTGAGAAAAACTAAAAAAAACCCGTGGGCCAAATTATGTCATATATAGCATCAGTTTTTGATAAAATTGATTTTGTTGTAATTAATTTCGTTGAATAATTATTATTTTTGAATATAACTTACTTTGTACACAATTAATAGTAAATGGCATCAAACGTATTATCGGAGGTCATTTTTTCTTTTGAAATAGAAGATGACGAAATATTATAAATAATTATATTCTTTAAATCTTTATCCTTCAATTTTACATCAAAAGTCTATAAAAGTATTTTTTTTTTTTTTTTGCAAGTGGAAGAGTATGCATAATTTTGCCTATATAGTAGGTACATAACATTATTATTTAATAAGATCATTCAATAGCGTATAACAAAAAAAGTTGGTGAATAAACAATGCACCTATTATAATACCTATTTCATACACATTTTTCTAATAATTTCACGCATCAGCTCGGTCGGAAAAAGAATTTTTCGTTGGTTTTTTAATGATAATGCAACGCAATTTATGAATATAGGCCCTTTACTTATGAGGTACTTATATGTTTGATGGACGTTTAAAACTTTAAAATGTAATGTTTATCGGCACTAAGAATTTTTCATGTTTGTAGCTATTTATTTCTAAAACTTATCACGAAATTGATAACCATAAATTAAGTTAAAGTCAACATCTGCAGCAAACCTCATACATTTATCATCAAAATTAACTTAAGACTATTCCAAACACCCGACAATCATATTGGTACCTACTTCCTGCAAATGTTCGATTTTGAAAATTTAAAGTTTACTTTTTGTTGGTCGAAACATATTTTAAATAAAAAACAAATCGTTGTATTTATTGACAAAAATTGGCAAATTTATGAAAGCCGTAAACTTTTTATTTTCGAAAAGAATTTGCTGATATTAAAAAGGTGCCCTGTTTGAATGTTCAAATTAGGCTTGCTTTCGAATTCCAACATAATTTCGTATAATATAATACCGACTACTGGAAATAATTATATGTTTGTCCAACATATATTAGCAACTTCACGGTCATAAATTTAATTTTGAGTATTTTGATCTGCCGTTGAAAATTACAAGTGCTTGGGCGTGTGTACACGCGTTTATGTATTTTATGAGTGTTATCACTTATCGTTGGGTGTTACACACACTAATGATCTTTTACAAATACTGAGCCTATAAAATAGATAAACCCCACGGTAATGACTCGTTTGTATGGTCCAAAAAAGAACCCAATTTCCAGGGCATCTCCACATTGAGTTATCATAAAAACAACTTTGTACGATCGTTTGTAGGTACTCCATTTAAATCGATTTACATTGAACAATTCAGATGACAAATTTTACTGTGCAAAAGATCACTTGGTTTTAAACCACTCGTTGTCAAACCCCGGATTTACAAAAGCTCAGTGTAGGATGCCGACATTTATCCAGCTCCGGAAAAACATAAACAAGTATAACATTGTACCTATAGCTTTCAGTTTATAAGCCACAGATTTTGCAGTAAAAATATCGGAACAAATGGAGTACAATCTCCCTAATATTTTATCATTTTGATAACTTAATATCCAAAATAGTCGAATATGAATAACAAGGTTATGAATTCTCGCCCAATATTTAAAAAAATTGGTTTTGATAACATCGCTTTATAGTTTCAATATATAGTTATGACGAAAAAAATAAGTTTGAACACGTCTTGAAGTATTGAAAAAAATCAAGTTCACTCGATAGTTGACGCACAGCGGCTTGAAAAATATGAGGGCCAACTATTAAAGCGTATTTCACTGGTCGGTGTTGGGTATTTTGCTATTTTACAAGACTTTCGAATCGTTATAAGAAAGTGTGGTGCATGACGATTGTGTTTATTTTGTTTTCAGTTGTTGCGGAAAAAAGCCAGATTTCTATTGGATGACAGTTTCGTGGACGGTCGGAGGAATGGGTCATCGGCGGAACCGCATCTGTTCAGACGTTTGGGCGGCCGGTTTTCAGCAAACAAAAACCAGAACAACGTGACCGGGTAAGTTGGCACTGGAAGTCCTTGGACGGCATGCAGTTTTGAACTTATACGCATTATAGTTTGGTGTTGCACCGAGCGATAATTATTATTAGCAATTTAGCACGATTGTTAAGACGTGAAGACATTTAAAACGGGCAACGCCATGTTTTCGCATAATAGTTCAATAGTTGTAATAGTTGCTATTCTTTGATAGTGAAATATTTTTCTCAGGTAAGTAGATGCGCTTTTGATAAAAACATTTTTTTTTTTTTTTTTTTAATAATTTCAAGTATACTTCAATACGACCGTTTTCAAAACAATGGGTTTTTTTATTTTTCCATACTTTTGTTAAATAAATGTTTTTGTGCTACTACACTGCACTATTATACATTCCTAACAATTTAAATTTTTTTTTCTTTAAAAACACAGATTTACCGAGAAAATAATTGTTTTATGACAATAGTTTTAACCACTTTTTATGACATAATAATATATAGTCCCAGACAGACGGTCAGCTCTCCGCGTTTCAGCACTCAAATTTCATAATAACATTATATAGCCATGCCCGACACCAGTTGATTGGTGGTCAGCCATATGCATATACGTCTATCCGAATATCACCTCGGAGATTATGCTATAGAAGACCACCTTTTATCAGAGTATAAACTCCTCTTCTTTACCACATTAAGCCGTTTTAATATTATTTTTGGGTCCGTAAACCTCACTTAATTAAACAAATTAATTCATTACATAGTATATTTTTAAATTTTTATAGGAGATTGTTGAGAGTTAGGTAGGTTTAGAATATTTTTTGGCTCAAATAAGAGGGCAGTGCATCCGTAGGTAGGTACCACCGATTCATGTTATCCACGAAATCGATATTATAATTTTGTACACGAGCAATAATTCAAACGATAAAAACCCTGTCGTTAAACAATTATTACATTTTATATTATAATTTTAACACATGTGCATTGTAGAAGTGATGCATGGTGTGGGAGAGTAGATTAGGTTGCTATTGATATACCTATCACTTTGATCGTTGAATTAGTAATCATGAGTTTTGTTCAAAAATACCTTTCCAAGTCTCACATATTTTGAAATGTATATAGTTTATGTTTAAAAAAAAAAACATATATGAGCAAATATTTTACCTACTAATATAAAACTAATTAATATTAAGTGAGATCATTTATAAACCATAATAACTCAAAGATAAATATCACATTTTTATAACTAAATAATACAAATTGGTATAATATACATATTATAGACCGATTCTTTTAACAGTGTAAATTATAATTGCTGTATCGAAAAATATTAACGTTTTTGAATAAAATATAATATTACAGTGAAAACTCTTTATAACGGATCTGAAAGGACCAAGAGATTTCTTTCGTTATAGAGAATTATAGTTAGTTATAGAGGTAATATTGTGACGTTGTTTAAATTTTCAAGCCATCCTTCCGAGGCCTTGAAATCTATAATACCAAGTTGTTGAGCAAAATGTTCATCTTTAGTTTTCAAAACAGACCCAGATATAGGTAAATTATTACAACGTCGTTTATGGAACTACGTTAAGGGGCCTGCTCGCGATTTTTCAAATTTTCCGCAATTCTATAAAATTTGAAAATTAAATTTTATATTTTAGTTGCCACCTCAATTATAAGACTTTTCCACTAATCTACTACCCAATACCTATTTAGGGGGGGTTGATAGGGTGTATTATATCGGTCAAAACACAGTTTACAGGAAAAACTCTCACACCTCGTAGATTGGTCCGATTTCCGTAATTTTTTTTTGTTAGATAGAGGAATATTTTTTACAGGGCGCATTGGACTTCGATTTTTGATTACGTCGCTAAAAACAAAAAATAATACAAAAACTAAAAAGTTGTAAAAATTGATTAAATTCAAACTTGTAACATAAGATTTAGAAAAATAATGTTGAAAATCCAAGTCCAATGCGCCCTGTAAGAAGTCTTCCTCTATCTAACAAAAAAAAATTACGGAAATCGGACCAATCTACGAGGCGTGAGAGTTTTTCCTGTAAGGCATGTTTTTGAGCAAAAAAACAGGTCGCGTGCAGGCCCCTTAACATGGCATGGTCCAAGTCTTCAAATTTCTGTTTTCTCATTTTTTTACAAGAACTTCCTTCTGTTTCAGCCTGCAATATTTTAACTTTATTCTTCCAGATAGTAGCGACAGTAGATGGGTTATTGAGAGTGACTAATACGTTATAGAGAATGAATTGACTAATGGGTTATATAGCAAATCAACCATTATTATGTAATGTTTACGGTATATAGAGTTTTTCGTTGTAAAGAGTTTCGTTATAAAGAGTTTTCACTGTATGTAGAATTCAAAGTCATTATTGAAGAACATTATCAAAAAAATATTAGTTTAAATGTTGAAATATAAAACCGAACTTATTACGGCTAATTAATTAGCTATAATTAGGCCTAGGATTCATATAAAATAAAAAATGTTAAAATGTGAAATCTTAAAAATTATAACGGTAAAAATATGATGTTTTTCCAAAATCTTTGTTTTGTAATAACTTGAAATAACTGAAAATATCTGAGCTCAGGGCAGTGCTTCACTTGGTTTTTCAAACCCTTAAACCTCTGGTTCCTCTTAAGATTGACTTTTAAAATTTGACACATAGATTAAACTTAAGGAGCTAAAGACACGGTAGGGAGTAGACATTTGAGCTCATAATATTAAGCCTTTTCAGAAGGAGAGCATGGTATGCAGGGTTGTGTTTTTTTAAACTGTACAAAACCAGCATAATATTACTGTAGTGCCTTCAATAACAAAAGGCAATGCCCAATATGTAGAAACCAGTAAAAATAAATGATATCCAATACAAACCTAACGACGGTGAAAAAGGGCTAAGTCCCAAACCCTCTTCAAAAATAGTCTGCATATCAAAGTAGTGATATCTATAAATTGCGGCCAAGTCTGATTTTACTTTGATCTTTAACTTTATAATACACAATTACATTAATGTGGAATAGTTGCGGATCCAGGGCTTATTTTTTTTTTTGGGGGGGGGGGGGGGTCGGGCATGGAGGGAGCAAAAGTACAAAAAGTACATACATTTGCTACAAAATACTAAACAAAGGGAAATAAACGGCGATTGGGGGGGGGAGGGCAAACAAATATTTTTAATTTTATTTCTTATTACTTGGCCAGTCTTAATGAAAAATAACCAGTGGGTGATTGTAATTTATTTCAGTTGTTAACATCGCTAGAGAGACAAAATCAGAAGAAACTGGCCAAGTGATAAGCAATAAAATTAAAAGAGATTTGTTGCAAATGAATGTTGAATGTATATTTTGGCACCTATTGATTTTATCGGTTAAGGAAATATCAGACTTGGCCCCAATGTAAATAACACTACATTGATTGGCCGACCATTTTTAAAGTTGATCTGGGACTTGTCCCTTTTTTATGCTTAAATATATTTGTTGGATAAATATTTTCAAAAACGTTAATATACATTTCGAGATAATTAATACTTACAGTTAAAATAATCAACCAGTTTAAATAGATGTACACATCTTCCATTGACCGTTCAACGAGTTTCAGCCAACGAAAATCATAAACATGTTCTAACATATTATAGGTACCGATTTAGTTACTGTTACCGCAAGTCGCAACAGTAACTAAATCGGCATCTTAACGAGTTACGTGCAATTTACTATAAAAACTGAATTCGAAGAAAAACTTTTTTGTATTAGACAAACTTACAGACCGTTAGACTTCACGTTCAGTAGTTAATACAGGAGTAGTGGTAATAAACACCGATGGGTTTTTTTTCATAGCAGTTTTAGTGAATTTTCTTGACTAGGAAACCACATTTTTACAATACGCACTAGTTTTTAGTGTTTAATGCGTGATCTTTGTTTTTTATGGATTATTATTATAAGAAAAAAAATTATTTATTTATTTAACTTATATTTATAAATACATAAATGCATATAAACCTATATAATGTATGCGTAAATACATATCCAGTAAGAGAAATATGTCCAAGCAATATTATTTTTAATACAAATAAAATATTAATCAAATTATGACACATATATATATTAAACTATTAAATTATTTTGTGATATCGGCTTATAATTTATCAATTTGTTTATATAATTTTCAGTATTTTTGAAAAAGAAAATAATATTTGGAAATTGTAATTGTTATTTTTAAGTTTTTATTTATGAATAATGTCATTCCTTCTTGAGTTTGTGTTCCAAAGCTGAATACCTATAAAAATTCAAAATTCAAATTTTGAATAAGTAACTAGCTAGTACCTTATAGATATTTAAAATTCAGATGACCTGAGTGGAGGGTACTCTTCGAAATGTAGTTTCACCGACTCGTCAATCTAAACTTAATTATAACATTCAATTTTTGTTAATTATTGAAAGCATTATTGAAATGCTTGAGGTAATGTTCTGAGGATTGTGATTTCAAAAATATTGTATTGTAATAATACAAAATTATGTTAAAAAAACATTACCACTGTTAATACTTTACATGAAAATGAGTGTTTATACCTTAAAAGTAAATTTCATACAGGTATGGTGGTATGTTACATTAATTAATTTATAACTACGGTATGGTAGTAAAGTTACATATTAACAGGTTGTTTTATTTGAAATGTAAAAATATAAATATTTTAATTAATTTTATAATTGGATGCGACGTATTATATATAAATAATTATTTATATATACACATATATTTATGTGACCTTCAGTTTAGACTAAAGTAAAAAGCTGGTGCGCATAGTTTTTTTTGTTTTTAAACAAAAAAATTATAAATAACTATTAGTTTAAAATATGTTGTGCTGACACATCACCTATATGGTTAGAATAAACTGTACAGTGTACAGTAACTGTTGGGATTGTTGTATAATAAATTACATTTAAAATTTTTTATATTAACAATTACAACCGTTAGGTTAGAGCTTGACGACAGTTGTAAGAGAGTAAAATATTTTTTTCAACCGTTTAG